CTCTTTCTGCTCTTGCCGACCCGGAGTCGGACTCTCTTCATGCTGCCAGTCCTACTGTCACGCGTCTCCTTGCTACTGTCGTCAGAGACCCTTCTTTTGAGTCCACTGCTGCGTCTGCCCTAGTTGCTGAGCTCGTCGACTTTGCTGCTCGCTGTCGTCTAGACTACGCTGCTAGTCTTGTCGCTGAGTTTGAGTCTGTCTGTCCTCCACCCGTCGGGGGTGAGTGTGCCCTTGGCACGGACGTCCTTGAGGACAGGCAGGAGGAGTTCCAGTGTCTGGCTGCTGCTTCACCGCATCTCGTGTCCGTACTACTTACCCCTAAGGGAGACCCGGATGCACTTGACATCCCGACTCCGCGCTCTTACGCGGAGGCCGTAGAGGGTCCCTACTCCTCTCAGTGGCAGGCAGCTATGGATGCAGAGATGGCTTCCTGGAAGTCCACACGCACCTACGTTGACGCGGTTCCCCCACCTGGGGCGAACATCGTCAGTGGCATATGGATCTTCAGGGTGAGGCGGCCGCTAGGTTCTCCACCTGTCTTCAAGGCGTGGTACGTGGCTCGTGGCTTCATTCAGCGGCAGGGAGTTGACTACTTTCAGACCTTCTCTCCCACCCCGAAGATGACCACTCTTCGAGTGCTGCTGCACATAGCCGCTCAGCGCGACTACGAGCTTCACTCTTTTGACTTCAGCACTGCTTTCTTGCAGGGTAGCCTGCACGAGGAGATCTGGCTGCGCCGCCCACCTGGCTTCACTGGGACTTTTCCTCCTGGCACCCAGTGGAGCCTCCGGCGGCCAGTCTACGGTCTCCGCCAGGCACCGCGTGAGTGGCAAGACACACTGAGGACTACGCTTGCGGCTCTTGGGTTTGCTCCCTCTACTGCTGACCCGTCGCTGTTTCCGCGCACCGACACCTCTTTGCCGCCGTTCTATATCCTTGTGTACATCGACGACTTGGTCTTTGCCACTGCTGACACTCCTGGACTCGCCCACGTGAAGTCCGAGCTGCAGAAGAGACACACGTGCACAGACCTGGGTGAACTGCGCAGCTACCTTGGCTTGCAGATCACCCGGGACAGAGCACGCCGCACCATTACCCTGACTCAGTCACACATGGTGCAGCAGGTCCTTCAGCGCTTCGGCTTCACGTACTCCTCGCCTCAGGCCACTCCTTTGCCTACTTGCCACTCGCTCTCAGCTCTGCCTTCGGATGAGTCCGTAGAGTCGAGTGGCCCGTACCCAGAGCTTGTTGGCTGCCTCATGTACCTGATGACCTGCACACGACCTGACCTTGCATACCCTCTTAGCATTCTTGCACGCTATGTTGCTCCTGGGAGACACAGACCACAGCACATGGCTGCAGCGAAGAGGGTGTTGCGCTACTTGTGCAGTACGTCGGGCATGGGGCTAGTGCTTGGAGGGCAGAGTCCAGTGGTCCTCACTGGGCACGCAGACGCTTCTTGGGCTGACGACCAGGCTACGCAGCGGTCGTCACAGGGTTACACCTTCAGCCTTGGTTCCGGCTCTGTTTCGTGGCGGGCTACTCGCTCGTCTTCTATTCTCGGCTCCAGTTGTGAGGCTGAGATCTACGCCGGAGCCATGGCTGCTCAGGAGCTTCGCTGGCTCACCTACCTGCTGACTGACCTTGGAGAGCCGCCTCGTTCTCCTCCAGTGCTGTACGTAGACAACAAGGCCATGCTGGCCTTGTGTTGGGAGCAGCGCCTGGAGCACAGAACGAAGCACATTGCTCTCCGCTACTTTCTAGCTCGTGAGCTGCAGCAGCGTGGTCAGTTGCGACTTGCGTACGTGGCCTCTGAGGCCAACACTTCTGATATCTTCACTAATGCACTTGCGCCTTGTGATCATCAGCGCTTCTGTACTCAGCTTGGTCTTGTGCCGGCCTTGCCTCACTTGCTCACTTCTTGACCTTGCTTGTACTGTCACATATATATACTCCTGCTCTTGCTTGTTTAGCCTTTTATATATATATGTGCTCCTGCATGTGGACTGGCCTTCTGGCCTTGAACTTGTGCTCGGAATGTGTGGTGACTTTGTGATCCACCTTGAGCTTTGCTTTGTTCTGCTTGACTGGTCTTGTGACCCCTTGTTCTCCCCCACTTTGCCTATGGGGGTGTGTCAAAATCATAATGTTCTGTAGGCTATAGTGGGGTAGCCCATATGGGGTACACATTTCTAGGGTTGCATATTTGTACCACACTCCATTCCTTAGTGCATCATTCTCGTTTCAGTTTTCTCAACTACATTTTCCCTAAGGTTCTCCCTTAGCGAACTGCTTTATAACGATGCATTAAATGTACCAGTATCGCGCTACATAATATAGAGCACGTGGCAATCAGGAAGCCACGCAAAGGTTAACAGTCACCGAGCACTTCAATACTTCGTATCCACTCACGACGTCTGACTCACCTATGCGGAGATAACTAATACAGCGGGAGCTAGACTACGGACTAGGCACGGGTGCTCGTGTGATCTCTGCGTTCGTTGGTCCTTAGTCGTTTTCCTAGTGTGCACACAACTTGCTAGTTCACAGTGAGAATTGGAAAGAGTTTCACTAGAGAAAATTGACAACAATGGTACAATGAAGTTGGCAATTCAAGACTACATCAAAGCTAGCATTCAGGTCGGTCGACTGCCGGCGCAGCATGGCCGACCGCGTTCCAGCACGACTTGGTCGACCGCGCTCCAGCAGTGCAAAGTCGACGGCGGGCCAACTTCGCAGGTTGACGGCGTGCCAGCGCTGCTCACGCAGAACAGCAGCGCACCCGCTGCGCAGGTGCTCGCAGATGATTGGCGGGCTGAGCCTCGTCACCTGCACAACGCATAGACCAAGTCATCCTCGTGCTGACGACTCCACCTGATCCACCATGTCGACCTCGGGATACCACCCCCGAGGTCGGGCTCGCCAACTTCGCCTGGGCGACCGTCGCACTGCTCCGCAGAAGTTCGTCACCCAAGTAACTTGGTCGACTTGGCAACCACGTCGACCAGCTCCTCCCGTACATGTCCGTCGACCTCCCAAGTCGACGGCCACCTCCAAGTCGACCTCACCAGGTCGACCACGCACCTGGTCGACCAGCTCCAGGTCGACGTCACTTCCGGTCGGACGGCTCCACGTCGACCAGCATTCATGGTCGACCAGCTTCATGTCGACCAGCGCAGTTGTCGGCCGACCACCCAAGTCGGCTACCCGAAGTCGGCGTCATGAAGTTGATGCTCCGCTACTCGACGCCAAACTGATCGGCGTCCTGAGTCGAGGTCGACGTCGGCCCCTCCGCGTCGACCACCAGGTCAGATCGACCACCAGCAGGTCAACCAGCAGGCCTGGTCGACCAACCACCAGGTCGACCAGCAGTCCGTCAGCCGACCACCGAAGTCAGCTTCCCCAAGTTGACGTCACCAAGTTGACGTCCTCCGCAGGTCGACTTCCCAGGTCGACCTCCCTGAAGTCGGCTTCATACTAATGTCGACCCCGTGCAGTGGTCCCCGTGCAGGTCGACCTCCTCGTTAACCAGCTCGTCCACTGCTGCAGGTCGGCTGCTCCCCTCACATCCGACCACGAACTCGGCTCCGCCCAAGCGAGGACGGGGCCAACACACAACTCCCGTTGACAACCTACACAGCTAACTTAACATCTACACTCCAACTACGAAGCTATATAGACGCAGATTACCCAGGGGATCTTGGCAACAGACGCTCTCGCACAATCTTTGTGTTTCAACTAGAACCCTCTCGGCTTGGTATTGCATGGAACTCCCAGAAGTAGGAGTTGATCGCTCGTTTGTCAGCCGAAGCCAAATTCATTGCCGCCAGCGCAGCTCTTCACGAAGAACATAGAGCTCCTGCGGGTAGCGAAAGTGACGATGAATGGGCACTTCACGTTACTCTGGGTCAACTAGAGCGCGATTAAAATCACGAACTAGCTCGGCTTCGTGAATCGCACAAAATATATCGTACTTCGTTACTTCTCTCTACGGCATCAAACAGGCACCCGGTTTGTGGCAGCAATATCTACACGCTGTCCTCATCGAACTCGGCTTCGCCTAGGTGCCGCACGACCAAGAGATGCATCTCAAGGAATCACGTGGTAACTTTATTTTCCAATTCACCTATGTGGACGACTTACTCTACACCGGCGAGACTGCTTCAAAGAAGAAATCAATGAGAAACTGGAAGTGACAATTAATCATAATGTCACACTAGTTCTCGGTCTCAACGTCACCCTGTCAGCTACCTCCATCCATCTCTCGGCGGTGAAGTACACCAAGACGCTCGCGAAGAAATTCGCAATCGCACCGATTAATCTCACCACTCAAATACGCACACCTCCTCCTGACCATGAACCTGACAAAACACCGCTCTCCATTGACGACCATTGCCTCTACCTGCATCAACTCAACTGTCTTCTTTTCGTCGCCGTCACAAGCCGACCATAGCTCTCCTACGTCGCAAGCCAACTCGCACAATACCTGCGCCGACCTTAAGAGGATAACCTGCTAAATCTACGCCAAGCACTTCAATACTTCGTATCCACTCCCGACGTTGGCCTCACCTACACTGCTAACTTAACATCTACTCTCCAACTACGCACCTATGTAAACGCAGATTACGCAAAGGATCCTGACAAGAGACGCTCTTGCACAGGCATTGTGTTTCAACTAGAACCCGCTGGGCACATTTCATGGAACTCTAGAAGCTAGGAGTTGACCGCCCTTTCGTCGGCCGAAGCCGACTTCACCCGCCCTCCGTGAAAGACATGGAGCTCCTACGGGAAACGAAAGTGACAATAATCTGTGACAACCAGAGCACGACCAAAATCGCGAACAAGCCCGACTTCGTGGATCGAATGAAGCACATCGCACTTGGTTACTTCTTTGTCAAAGACAAGATTGACAAGGGCAAAGTCGAACTCACGTATTGCCCGAATGGTAATATGGCAGTCCGGTCTGTAGGAGGTGCAGCGCCTATTGCACACATACCACATCACACCTCTTCTCCCCCCCTCTCTCTCTCCATTCCCACATACACACCTGCTTTCCCATCTTTCGCAGCGCTCTTCTTCCCGCCACCCTCACTGTCACCAGCACCACTGCCAGGCGCGGCTGCCACGCCTTGACTGGGCGCGGCAGGGGCCCTCGCGGGCTCGACGTAGTCGAGGGGCGGGGCGAAGTCGACCTCGCAGTCGGTCTCGATGATGGAGATGGCGGCACCTGGGCGTGCGTCCACCACGTTGATGAAGTAGCGCTTGTTGTTGTACGCCACCATTATGCTCTCACCCGCGGTCAGGCAGGAAAACGACCGCAGGGTCATCTCCAAACTGGGATGGGGGGTGGCACACGGGAAACAGGGAGAGTTGGCATATGGGAGGGGTAGAACACAGGGCTAAGGATGTGAGACCGCCACGTCAATGAAGTAGCACTGATTGTTGTACGGCACCATGATGCTCTCGCCTTTGGCCAGACAGGAGAAGCTGTGAAGAGTCATGTCGAGACTGGAAGAGCACGTACAAGCGGGATGGAGAGGGTGGGGAGGGAGGTTGAGCCCGGGGTGCACATGGGCGTGAGTCCAGCACGTGGGATGACGTAGTGCTTGTGTGCTGTACACCGCCATGATGCTCTCCCCTTGGTGAGACAGGAGAAGCTGCAATGAGTCATGTCGACCTTCTGGATTCTCACGCTGCCACGTTGCTATAAGTGAAGCTTTATGAACCAAATCAGAGAAATAAGTCAACAACAGTTGCTCATATCATTAGCCAGGGGAAGCTGCTTTTCTCCAGCCTCGTGACGCTAAGCTTGTACAAACGAATACGAAAACGAATATTTTTCCTGGATATTCTCTGAATACTGTGTGGTTTCTTATTTGGCCGAATACTGACCCAAAACCAAATACGAATACGATTCGAATACTGCCGAATTCGAATCCAATACGAATAAGTGTCGAGTAATAAGATATTTTGTATAGCCAGTGTCGAATTGCTATTGCATGTTCTGGGGATGGGATGGCAGGACGAGGCAAGGTGAAAGGAAGATGACGAAAGGGTATGTGCAAGGGCTTCTTGTTGTGTGATGCAACCATATGCATTCACGTCTGTCTGCCTCCCATCATGTGTTTGTGCGTTACATGCGTGGTGTGAGCGTGTGCAAGAAATTTGTGTCTTGTGTGGTTGGATTTTCTGTGTGTGTGTGTGTGTGTGTGTGTGTGTGTGTATGTTATTTGGCTTGAGCAGATATCTGAAGTGATTCCTCTACTCAAGAGCTTTCCGACGAACCAAGTATCGCTTCAATCGGAGCACGAACAAGAAAGTTACGAACGTTGGAGTTCGTATGCTTTTGATATTTGGTTGTGGTGACTATGGGGAGTTGTGGGGTTGACTCAATATGGGGTACAGACTTTTGGGGGTTGGGAAATTCGTCTTTTCTACTGTAGTTGCTGCCAAGTGATTGGGTGAAACCAAACCAGGTTGGCAAGTGTGGCCAAGTTGGGTTAAGGTGGATGGCATGGGTTGGGAAAGTGACAAAAGTGAAAGTGGGGTGGCCTATGGGGAAGGGAATTGTGTGGCATGGAGTTTTCTTTGGTTGGGGACTCCTTGGGACCTTCCCTCTCGTCCTCCTCTTTCCTCCCACCTGGTTTAGTGCTACTCTAACTCTCTTGTGTGCAACTCTTGTGAACTTGTGAAACTATTGTGAGTGAATTTAATTTCTATGTGGCAGCATACCCCCTGGTGCGCCGAGAAGCATAACTCGAGATTTACTCCATTTTTCGATACGATTCAAATTGGGAATGATAGCCACAAACAAGGGCTATAACATACTCGAGTTTGAGACGATTCTAACGGTGCACTTTTCGTCGACAACGTTTCTTGTGAAGTCGACGTTTCTGTCCAGAAATTGAGACCAACGATTTTAAAAAATTTGGGCACCTAATCTTCATAGACTCCGTCCTTAATTTTTAACACTTCTGAGGCGCCGTAAGAGGCATGACGGAGCCAATCACATCCACAATCACAATAAGCTATCCTTAGAATCACTCTCCCCACAACATAAATTTGATTGGTTACTGTTACACAGTCGTACCCCACGATTATCACATCTCTTACGATCGGTCACACCCCTCAGGTCCACTCTCACGGCATTGGGGTTGGAGATGCCCAGAAAGTCAGGGGTTAGGGTTCAGGTTTGAGGTTACGGTTCAGGGTTGGGGTTTTGGCTGCAGCATCACGTAGGCGTAATTGGGGAGAGTGGCAACACTGCTCCCCCCTTCCAATAAGCACGTCCCTCACACAATCACAGTCGCACTCACTCACTCACACAGCTTTCCCACCTCCCATCTACGACTCACACAGCCTTGGGGTTGGAGAGATCGAGCAAGTCCTTGGTGTGTGGCTGCGTGCACCTTCACATACGTGCCCTTGAGGAATGGCGTTACTCTCCCCCCCAACCCCTCCCCCCTTCTAGATAAGCACATAACTTACCATTACAGTCACCACCCCTATAAGAATGCTACTCACACAGCTTTGGGATTGGATATGTCTAGAAAGTCTGAATGGCTGCAGCTTCACGTAGGAACCCTTGGGGACAATGGGTGTGGGCACTAGCTACTACCCCCAACCACCCCCCCTCTTCTCCCCCTCCCCCCCCCCCCCCCCCCCCCCTCCCCACCCCCCCCAAAACAAGTACATTTCGTACAGTGAGACGCACTCACACGGCTTTGGGGTTGGAGATGTCAAGGAAGTCCTTGGTGTGCGGCTGCAGCTTCACGTACGTGCCCTTGGGGAGAGTGGCGTTTCTGAACCGCACTATGTCGTCGCCTTCCTATAGCAGCAGGTTCTGCATCATCTGAAAGGAAGGATACAGAGTAGCAACGGAGGAGAACAGGAGAGAGGGCATTAGCAGGTGGCTTGTAGATTGACTCGCACGGGCACTATGTCCCCCTTCTGTAGCAGCAGAATCTGCATCATCCAAGAAAGATGCAGGAGATGAAGGGATGTGAGTTGTAAGGTAACAGCGGGTTCTGTGTACCAAACACAGAAACTTTACCCAATGCGGAAAGCCCTACCCCAATATGACTAGCCTTGATTAGTTAGGCAAAGCCGTTTTGGCAAGCCATACCCAATATGGCAAGCCTAATCCAATCCAGTGAGGCACGGCGCCCATATGGTCATCTGCAATGAACTCCAAAATGCCACCATTCTCCTTGCCCGATACAGGAAGCCTCACCCAGTATGGCATGTACACGTAGCCCTCCTCTGCAATGAACTCCAGCACACCGCAGTGCGACGTGCGATTGGCCGCCGCATTGTGCACCTCAGCATCGGGTAGTCTATGTGCAGCGACGCTGGTGGGGTGCAGTGGGGGGTGGTGTGGAGGAGTGGAGTGGAGAGTGGAAAAGATGGGTTGTGAGTTGGGATGAGCATGCATGGTGCACCTCAGAAAGCATGGGGTAGTCTATGTGGAGAGAGGCTGGTGGGATTGGGGGGGTGGGGGAGGAGTGGAGAGCGGTACAGATGGGTTATGATGAGCGTGTAGCGTGCGTGCGATTGGCCACTGCATTGTGCACCTGAAACAGCATGGGGTGGTGTAAGTATTGCTGCTGCGCTGAGCACCTCAAACAGCTCACTGTTCAGTGAGGCTGGTGGGGTGCGAGGGGAAAGGGGAGTAGAGCTGTACAGATGGGTTTATTTATTTTCTCATGTGCACCTCAAACAGCATGGGGTAGTTTATGTGGAGGAGGGGTGGTGGAATGGGGGGGAAAGGGATGAAGAATGGTACAGAGGGTTAATTAATTCTCTAATGGGAACCTTGAACAGCATGGGTTAGTCTGTGGTGCAAGGCTGTGTCACAGAGATAGGAAGAGGAAGGGGAGAGGGCAGGGTGGTGAAAACTGGATACAACAAGTTGGCAAACGAGCGTGTGCAGAATTAACGAGCATGCTTTAACGGATATGGCGACATTACCTCGCCTGCTGAGAAACAAAGCAGGCTTAAAACGGGTATGGTGGACTTACCAGGTCTGTCGAGGGCAGAGGGTGGCATGATGACTGATGGGAGGAGCGCGGTTGCAGAGTGATGGATGGCCCCGTCTGACATGGGCAGCCAGGGGGCGCGAGCGCAAGACACACGAGGGGCGAGGGGGAGACCGGAGTGGAGAGGAAAAGGGGAGGGAGGGGGTTGATGGGCAGGGTACGAGTGGGAAGAAGATGAAGGTAGCAGAACTGTGAAGTCGCTTCATTCTTTATGCAACTACTACGGGTTATGGAAGATGGCTCACAGAAAGGAGGGGAGAGGGAGGGGGGAGGGAAGGGAGCGGGAGGGGGATGTTGCGCACGATACCAAGTGTGAAGTGGCTTGATAACTTATGCAGTAACTATGGCGTTATGATCAGTCACTTGTAGCAACAACGAAATTATTTTCAAGGAGCCTTGAGAATCATATCATGCAGTGAGTGCAGGGTTTATGAACAATGACTCATAGCAGCAACACCATAGACAGATAGCTATGGCAATGAGAGAATGCAAAAAGAGAAGAGGCAACGTTGTTGAAGTGGGGGGGTTGAGTGCAAAAGAAGGGGCAACCGACAACCACCCTCCTTGGCCAATCAGGGATGTGAGTCATGTGAGACAGAGGCAACCGCCAAACACACATACAAACACCCCTTTCTCCCGCACACACACCCCTCCTCGCACACACACCCCTCCTCGCACACACACCCCTCCCCGCACACCCCTCCCCGCACTCACACCCCTCCCCGCACAAACACCCCTTCCTCGCACACACACCCCTTCCTCCCACACACACCCCTTTCCCCCACACACCCCTTCCTTCCCCACACACCCCTTACCCCACACACACCCCTTCCCCCCCCACACACACCCCTTCCTCCCCACACACCTTTATCGCCATTCTCCAAATTAGCCTGCCAACAGTGCCAACATGATTGTGATGAGAGAGGGAGTGGGGTGCGGACAGAGGGGGGGAGGAAACAGGCGGAAAGGAGAGATGAATAGAGAAAGAAAACACCGCACAGCACCCCAACGCACCACTCCGCACCGCAAACATCCATGAATGGGACAGGGTATACGTGAAAGATCTGCTCGAAGGAGCTCCGCCTCAACTCAGTGCTTGTATCACACCGAATTGCACTCCCATGTCATTAGAGAGAGACCGCCACCACACCTTACTGGTGAACGATACTGGCTGCACGTGAAACTTCCACACGAAGTGATGTCTCGAAAGGTCATCCGTCAGATCAGAACTAAACAGAATTACCCACCTTACCTATGAACGACACAGGATACACGTGGAAGCCCTGCTCGAAGGAGCTTTAAGGCACTTCATACTACACCGAACCCGATCGCACCACACTGCACCACACCTTATCTATGAAGGAGACAGGGTACACGTGAAAGCTCTGCTCGAAGGAGCCCAGAGGCTGGCCCATGCCCCCAAACGGCGGGAAGTACTGCCGTGGAGGGAGGGAACGAGAGGCGGGAGGAGGGGAGAGGAACGGGAGGGGGGGTAGAGGAGAGTGGGAGGGGAAGGGGGGGAAGCGGAGGGAAATAGATACATCACCAAGATAATAGCGAGATCACATCAGGATTGAGGGTACGGCCAGATTGGACGCCGTAACAGCCAGTCTTTCGCGCGCAATGCAACTGTGACTAGTGCGGATCACAAAACGATGAATATATTGTTTCTTAACGACATCGTGAATAAAGTGTGACATATCCTTTTGAGCTCCAACACACACGTGATCCTTAACACGGGAAGAATAAACGGTGACTAGTCCTGAGAGTTGCGCAATCCGACAAGAACATTTTGTAATTCAGAATGCAAAAATCACTCCGAAATGGACAGTAACCAGGGAGGAGGGTAACTAGGAGGAAGGGTAACCTGATTGGCAACAAAGCTTTGACGTACCATGATTAGAGATTCACGTTGATGATCAGAATTTGACGGTGGAGATTCGTTTCAAAAGTCTGCGAGACGTGTCGAAACAAACGCGGAATCTTGGAGAAAATAAACAGACTAAAGAAAATAGGAATCGACGATAAGGAGTTGCTCTAGAAGTTCGTGAGACGCGTTGGAATGGGGAAATTCGAAAACTGTGAACGAGAGCAACGACCGCCAAAATCTATGGTCATCTTTGTGAAGAAGCTATGTTGCAACACGCTTTACGCAAGCCTAGTCGTGCTCTTTGCATGCGAGACTGAACGACCAACACCCTCTTACAAATCCGATACAACAATTTCGTTAGTGTATATGTGCTGTACTTTTAGTTGCTAGACTAAACCAAGAGTTCGGATGGTGATAACTTAAATGATTGATCAGGCTAGGCTAGGTGTAGGGTCTTCAGAAATGATTTTATGATTTCGATCAATCAAAAAACATTTTTTGTGTTTCAAAAGAGACTGAAACATATCATAATGTGATATCCGGCTGTGCAAATCTGCGTTGACATGGCAAATCTAAGCTGTGACATGTTGAAATTTTGGTGTGACAGGACAGATCTCATACCTAACAAGGCAAACCCAGGCCAAATTTTATTAGTGTAAATCACCCTGATACCATGATAATCAGGGTGGTTTTTGGTAGCCACACTGATGCCTTAGGGTAAAATTTTCAGGTTTTTCTATGATATGCCAGGGTTTATGTTTAAGGCACATTGACGCCCAAAGTTAGTGTTATTAAAACAAGCTTAGGTTATGTTGAAGTGGCCCAGTTAGTAGGATGGTTATCAGAATGAAGAAGACCGGTGATCGAATCCTGGAGTCAAACTTCTTGTTCAGAACTTCATTTAGAAGCCTTCATCGGGGTTCTGAAAATTGTTACACTTTGGCCTAAGGGCGTGTCACCTCAGGTGGTAATCAGCTGTTTGAATTTCGAATTTCGGAAGGTTAAGGTAGGTACATTACGGTTGTTTAAACATACAGTTCAGTTTAATACGGTGCTTGTTCGAACAAGCCGCTTTGAACGTCCGAGGTGACACCTTCTAAGGGTAAATTTCTTGAAACTATGGAAAACCCTAATGAAAAAGAGTTTTCTCAATGGGTCACACTGACAATCAGGGTTTTGAAATGGTGCAGGACTGATGCTAAGGGTTGCTTAACACAAAAAATTAGCCTTGGGCAAACCCCTGCAACACCAAGGAAAATGTGGTGTGTTAGGTGAATGAAGTGTGATTATGTTGGAATAATAGATAGGTTACTACATTTTCCCTAAGGTTCTCCCTTAGCGAACTGGTTTATAACGATGCATTAAATGTACAAGTATCGCGCTACATAATATAGAGCACGTGGCAATCAGGAAGCCACGCAAAGGTTAACAGTCACCGAGCACTTCAATACTTCGTATCCACTCACGACGTCTGACTCACCTATGCGGAGATAACTAATACAGCGGGAGCTAGACTACGGGCTAGGCACGGATGCTCGTGTGATCTCTGCGTTCGTTGGTCCTTAGTCGTTTTCCTAGTGTGCACACAACTTGCTAGTTCACAGTGAGAATTGGAAAGAGTTTCACTAGAGAAAGTTGACAACAATGGTACAATGAAGTTGGCAATTCAAGACTACATCAGAGCTAGCATTCAGGTCGGTCGACTGCCAGCGCAGCATGGTCGACCGCGTTCCAGCACGACTTGGTCAACCGCGCTCCAGCAGTGCAAAGTCGACGGCGGGCCAAATTCGCAGGTTGACGGCGTGCCAGCGCTGCTCACGCAGAACAGCAGCGCACCCGCTGCGCAGGTGCTCGCAGATGATTGGCGGGCTGAGCCTCGTCACCTGCACAACGCACACACCAAGTCATCCTCGTGCTGACGACTCCACCTGATCCACCATGTCGACCTCGGGATACCACCCCCGAGGTCGGGCTCGCCAACTTCGCCTGGGCGACCGTCGCACTGCTCCGCAGAAGTTCGTCACCCAGGTAACTTGGTCGACTTGGCAACCACGTCGACCAGCTGCTCCCGTACATGTCCGTCGACCTCCCAAGTCGACGGCCACCTCCAAGTCGACCTCACCAGGTCAACCACGCACCTGGTCGACCAGCTCCAGGTCGACGTCACTTCCGGTCGGACGGCTCCACGTCGACCAGCATTCATGGTCGACCAGCTTCATGTCGACCAGCGCAGTTGTCGGCCGACCACCCAAGTCGGCTACCCGAAGTCGGCGTCATGAAGTTGATGCTCCGCTACTCGACGCCAAACTGATCGGCGTCCTGAGTCGAGGTCGACGTCGGCCCCTCCGCCGTCGACCACCAGGTCAGGTCGACCACCAGCAGGTCAACCAGCAGGCCTGGTCGACCAACCACCAGGTCGACCAGCAATCCGTGAACCGACCACCGAAGTCAGCTTCCCCAAGTTGACGTCACCAAGTTGACGTCCTCCGCAGGTCGACTTGCCAGGTCGACCTCCCTGAAGTCGGCTTCATACTAATGTCGACCCTGTGCAGTGGTCCCCGTGCAGGTCGACCTCCTCGTCAACCAGCTCGTCCACTGCTGCAGGTCGGCTGCTCCCCTCACATCCGACCACGAACTCGGCTCCGCCCAAGCGAGGACGGGGCCAACACACAACTCCCGTTGACAACCTACACAGCTAACTTAACATCTACACTCCAACTACGAAGCTATATAGACGCAGATTACACAGGGGATCCTGGCAATAGACGCTCTCGCACAATCTTTGTGTTTCAACTAGAACCCTCTCGGCTTGGTATTGCATGGAACTCCCAGAAGTAGGAGTTGATCGCTCGTTTGTCAGCCGAAGCCAAATTCATTGCCGCCAGCGCAGGGTCTCTAGACCCAGTGCCTCCAGCTCCGGCACTTCCAGTAGTAGTGCCCCCAGCTCCAGCTGCGCGACTCCAAGGGCGGATGCGCGAAGCAAGTCACTCACGTAGCTGCTGTCGCGTGAGAGGTGACCGTTGCGACACAACACTAGGAGGACCTCCACTAGACTCAGCACCCCCTAGAACTAGCACCTCCAGCTCCAGCAGTACCACAAGTCCTGGCAGCTCCAGTACCTCCGGTACGAGCACGTCCAGAACCAGAAACACCAGCACTCCCAGTGTCTCCACGACCAGCAGCTCTAGCAGCTCCCGCAGCAGCACCTCAAGCAGCAGTACCTCCAGCAGCAGGACCTCCAGCTCTAGCAGCAGAAAGAGGGAGACCCAGAGGAACGTCAGCAGACTCAGCACCCCCAGACCCGGTACCCTCTGGCTCAGCACCCACAGGCTCCGC